GAATTTGAGATTGAAAACTCTCATGTCCATTCACTCGGGGTTGCAGGATCCCCACTCTTTTCCTGTCAGGGGATTGGCTTTGACATCTGACACTTGTCAAACTCTATTCAGACTCCTTTGCAGCGCTGATATTCTTACAGTTAGATTTAGGCCTGATTTTGAGTATTGCCTTTGTGGCTGAAGAATATGAAGATCTCTTTAAATGCTGCCATGGAGGTCTTGAGGTTTTCATATTGTGCCTTGAATTGACAGGGTGACCTGAACTTGCCATTTTTATTTTGCCTAGGCATCTAAACTAGTTAACAAAAGCTAGCCATCAACAAAGCTACATAATTATTATTACCCCCTGTACTGTTAAAGTGCCATGGCTACGGAACAACTCAATACTTCCGTTTCCATCTGTACCTCATTCCTTTCTGTATAGAAGAATCTTAGTTAGCTGTTATGTTACTGTATGCCAGGGCTTATCACTACCCAGCTCTATTGATGCCAGCATGCTGACTGGACCTGGAAAATAGGAAGTGTCAAGTATTCTAGATGTCCTAGTAAGGCATCTGGGTGCTAGAGGATAGAAGATGCCCCTATTAAGTTTTTAGAAGTGTAGTCGTCAGAGGCGTTCAAATCAGAGTGACTCCATCTTGTAAAGGGGCTGGCTAAAATAAGGCTGAGACCTAGTAGGCTGCATTCCCAGGAGGTTAAGCATTCTAAGTCACACGATGAAATAGGAGGTTGGCACAAGATAAAGGTCATAATGCAGTAAAGAAGACAGCAAAAACCCACCAAAACCAAGATGGGGATGAACTTGACCTCTGGTCCTCCTCACTGTTATATGCTAATTATAGTGCATTAGCATGCTAGAAGATACTCCCACCATGACAGTTTACAAATGCCATAGTCATGTTAGGAAGTTACCCTATTTGGTCTAAAAAGGGGAGGAACCCTCAGTTCCAGAATTGCCCGCCTCTTTCTTGGAAAACTCATGAATAATCCAATCCTTGTTTAGCATATAATCAAGAAATAACTCTAAGTATCCTTAGTGGAGAAGCCCAGGCCACTGCTCTGCATATGGAGTAGCCACTGTTTATTCCTTTTTTTTGTTTGTTTGTTTGAGACGAGTCTCACTCTCTTGCCCTGGCTGGAGGATAGTGACGTGATCTTGGCTCATGACAACCTCTGCCTCCTGCGTTCAAGTTGTTCTCCTGTTTCAGCCTCCCAAGTAACTGGGATTACAGGTATGCACCAGCATGCCCTGCTAATTTTTGTATTTTTTTTTTAAAGTAGAGATGGAGTTTTACCATGTTGGCCAGGGTGGTCTCAAACTCCTGACCTCAAGTGATCTGCCCACCTTGGCTTCCTAAAGTGCTGGGATTACAGGCATGAGCCACTGCACCAGGCCTATTCCTTTACTTTCTTAATAAACTTGCTTTCACTTTATGGATTTGCCCAAATTCTTTCTTGTGTGAGATCCAAGAACCCTCTCTTGGGGTCTGGTTCAAGACCCCTTTCTGGTAACATAGTAGTCTACAGATCTCTAAGGTATGGATGATTTGCTGCACCTTGCAACTATCCCCATGACAGCACTTGGAGTAATACTTTTTTACCTTTTGGAGGCAGCACATATCACATTTGGGAATATTTCTCCAATTCATTTCACCATTCCTGGCTATGTTGTTTTTTTAGTTTAGGTTTAGTGAAAAGATTGCTCTACAGGCTTCTGATTCTGCCTATTACTAGTTGTATAATGTTGATTAAGTTACTGTAACATCTCTGAATCTCAGTTCTCAAATAATGGGGATAATAAATATGATTATTAAATGAGAAATGTTTCATGGAAATTATTTCGTGCAAGTACTTTAGGTTATCACAAATTATTTGATTATCTGGTTTTATTTCTACTGACAGAGCATAAGATGATAGAATTAAAAAATTTTTTTTTACCCTGAAACTCTCATAAACTAGGATCAGGAATGTGTGCTATAACAGAGGAATAAGTATTAATTAATGTGGTTATGACTTTTTAGAAGGCTAACAGTCATAGCAGAGCTTTCTGTGCACTACAGGCTGGTACTACCACTTTATTAAGGTTTTAATTCTCTATAGATATGGCTGTAGGTTCTAAGAGCCACCAAATAAAGCATTCATGAAGCTATCTAGGGTTAATTACTCAAAAGTCATCAAGCCTAAAGCTTTGACCTTCAGTTGACTGTAAAGGCCATACAAAAGAAACTCAGAGTGGAAAAAGGGAAAACTCTCCACTTGAATCTTTATAAATAAGCATTACAGGATGAACTCAGTTATTCCAAAGAATGACTAAAACAGTGCCACTGTGGATTGAGTTTTCCCCCACAATGGGATGACACTTATTTGTTTTGTCATTAGGTCTGGATCTCCCTATGTTTTCTGACCATTTTGAAAAACCTAAAAAACATTTCAGAAAACACTTTCATTTATTTGAAACTAAGAATAATAAAACTAGAGACATATTAAATGCAACCATGATTAATGGAGGACCATAAAAGTTTTAGTGATTTATCTGGAATTCAGGGAAATTTATTAAACAAAGTTTTCACTACTACCTCGTCTTAAAAATAATAGCTTAGCTCACTTCTTTCCTTTTCAATTACAGATTTTGAGTACAACTTGCTCTGGGAGTTGATTTCTGTAAGCTGAACCTGATAAGTCACTTGTCTTGGCAGGTTTTATAAGGAAACAAAAACCCACTCAAAAAACATAAAGCTATCTAGGTTTGGAGTAAGACAGTTCAGCTGTATCTGCCAGGAAAGCTCCTTTTTTCCAGATTGCAACCCAGTTTTTAACATTATTAGACCTAAGTTTGTTTTCTATGAATTTCTGTGTTTTATTACATGACTGATAACATAGATAGATTCTTATTTGGTAGATAAATCAACCCTGAAGGACTGCTTAGAGTGGAACAATCATATTATCTGACTGTCTTTCAGCCTCTGTTAAAGTCCAGAATGAAATTTTATTTGACAAAATCATTTCTGACACCCAGTGTGCTATTTAAAAAATCTTCATGGTTTACCCATTTCTTTCCAAAATACCAAAGTGGCTTAGACCACATTATATCTATATATTGTAAAAGTATTTATGCTATGTACATGGAAGATACATAGAATTACAGAATTACAGTATTACAATATTTTGTTTGACCACTGGGTTTAACTCCTAAATTTTATAAATGGGGAAACTTTGGTCCCCAGAGGCTCAGAGATTCGCTTGAAGGCAGAAAGACAGTTAATGGCATCGCCAAATCCTAGGGACCCGGGTCTGCTGATCTAGTTTTGTCTCAATAACATCATTCATGTGAGCCCTGGAAAGATTAAATAAATTTTGATGAACTGCTTCTTATTCAAATGAAAAGAGAGATAGTTAAAGGGATATATTTAGAAGACAGTAAAATCTTTTTATGGTATCTCTTTAGAAGTAACTGCTACATACTAAGGTATAGTTTTTTTTTAATATAACAAAAGAAATTAATCAATTTGTATTACTGGTACCTATAGCATTTGTTAATAATGTTTGGGTATATCTTCTGTCTGCTATATTGGAAAGAGTTATAATATCCACAATGGATTTAAGCCAGCCTGCCAAAGCAGAAGTGGCATGGGGATTGGAACTCTGGTCAGTCTGGCTCCCAAGTCCATTTTCTTTATATCAGCTCCCTCTCATTGGGCATACTGTTGTCAGGCTAATTTGCATATTATTATTAGATTAATCTTGTTCACATATCATCTTTATCGTTCTGTTATCACAATCAAAATCTTTCAGTAGTTACTTGTCAAGTCTAAACTCATCTGCCTGGCTCTCAGGTACCTTATAACTAGGCCCTACTTTTACCATTCAATCATGCCTCCTACTCTCCAGTCATTCCCATTACATATATGTATGTTCCAATTCAAATACTAAACTTATTAAGGGCTAGTTACAATACTACTTTAGGTATTCTACAAATTTCTGTTGAGGATAAAAAGCTTCGTTTGAATCAGAGATCCTGCCTTAACTAAAACTTGAAAGTTACTTATAGCCATAAGAATAGTTTTAGATCACATTTTCAGCTATCATTACAAACATTAATTTAAACTTTAAGAACATATGTGGTGGGGGAAAATGTTTGACTCTTCCTACTAATATTTGCTGAAGTCTCAGAAAGTATCAACATCATTATTCTCTTTCACTTTTACTTCTGACTGCCGAGCATGAAAACATCTGATCCCTAATCATGGTACTTCTCTGAGAAATGTTTGTTGCTTCTAGTCACCTAAACTCCTTATTTTGATACCCAATCCTCTTCACATTCTGCTTCCAATCTAACTCTCACGTCAAATATCTTACCGCTCTCTACACTCTGGACCACAATGAACTTTTTACCATTATTTCTAAACTACATCAGTTCCTTTCTGAGCTCTGTGCCTTTATACAAGCAATTCTAATTTTATCGGTTTGTTTTTTTAATCTTTTTTCTTCTGCACCTGGAAAGTTCCTATTCATTCTTCAAGACCTAGTTTAAATGTCACCTCCTTTGAGAAGTCTTTGAGGACTTCTTTAGACAAATTAATTGCTATCATCTATTACATTATTGCCTTTCCAAATAAATAGTAAGGTGCAGGGCATAAGGTATAGTGTCTTACTGGTTTTTATATTCTCAGCACCTGGCACTAAGCAGAAACTCATTGAATGCTGAAGGAATGAAGGAGTATCTTGATAATATATTAAAACAGACGTCTTTCCAATTAAATACAGTCATTTATAATTTTCCTTTAGCCATAAAGTAATAGATAATAATACTGAGTGTTACCTGGAAATTTTCAAGAACTGTAAAAGTACTTTGGTTTAAATAAATAAGTGATCCATAACTGCTTAAAAATGATTTTAAAAATATCTTTCTATAATCCCTTAGGCATATTAATATTTCTACATCTTACTCTTCTCTAGAAACAAATATTTAGAAACCAATTTATAAAACAGAAGCAACTTACTTTATTTCGATCTTGTACAACCAGTATTTTTCTAGTACCTTCATCAAATACAGCTCCTATTCGGGGAAAAAGAAAAGACAATTGAGAAATATTAATTTCATTCACCCTACTCTCCTCCTACACTCTTTATCTGTGGTGATCAAAATTCTACCCATACTTGAAGACCTGGTTCAAATACAGGTTGAGTATTTCTTATCTAAAATGCCTGAGACGAGAAGTGTTAGATTTTTCTGGATTTTGGAATATTTTCATATACCTAATGAGGTATCTTGGGGATAGGACCCAAGTTTAAACACAAAATTCATTTATGTTTCATATATACCTTATATACATAGTCTGAAGGCAATTTTATGCATTTTTAAATAATATTGTGCATGAAACAAAGTTTTGACCGCATTTTGACTGTGACTTTTCACATGCCAGGTGTGGAATTTTCCACTAGTGGCATCATGCCAGTGCTCAAACACTTTCAGATTTTGGAGCATTTTGGATCTTTGATTTGTAGCTTGGAGAAGCTCAACCTGTACAACCTTATCCATGAAGACTTATAAAATCTCTCCAGCAAGGAAGTAATTTCTCAGGCGTCCAGGTTCTTTTAACAACTTAGAGTACCAATGATGGTTCTAGCGCATGGTAACTTATAAGATAATCATTTGTATCACCTTCTTCACTAGATTATTCCTGATGGTACGTGTGCCAAATAAATTAACCTTTCTATCCTTTTGTAACATTTACTTTAGTGTTCTGACAATTTTGTCTTAGTCCATTTGGGCTGCTATAACAAAATAACTATAGACTGGGTAGTTTATAAACAACAAACTTATTCCTCACAGTTCAGGAAGCTAGGAAGTCCAAGATCAAGGTGCTGACAGATTCAGTGTCTGATAAGAGCTCATTCTTTACAGACGATGCCTTCTAACTCTGTCCTCACATAGTGAAAGGGGCAAACAAGCTCCTGTGGGCTTCTTTCATAAGGACACTAATCCCATTTATGGGAGCTCTGCCTTCATGATCTAGTCACCTCCCAAAGGCCCCACCTCTTAATACCATCACACTGGGGATTAGTTTTCAACATATGAATTTTAGGGGGAACAAACATTCAGAGAATATATGTGCTTACAATATTTATGGAATAAATGAATTGACTTCTCATTTTTATTCCTTGAATCACTATGCATAAAACATAGGCTGTACCCCTGATGATCCAAATCTCAAATATCTCAATACTCATTTCAAGACCTTTCTGAAGCCAATTAAATTTATTATATACATACAATTTTACAATCTACTAATACTGCTTTGGAAGACTTCTTTGTTTTATACATGTTTTAAGTTCTAGTCCATTTCTTTTGTGTATTCATCATACACATTGCACATTGTCTCTTTCTTTTTAAAAATAATTCCCTTTAGGCAATCTTGGGTCAAAAATACAAATGACACAGTGATTTTTATTATGATCCTTTAGATGCTATGATTTAAATGTATTTGTGTTTAAATAATGTGGTAAAAGATACTTTCTACATATTTGTTCATGCTTTCCATATTAACTGAGTTCCTACATATTATGTATACAGATCCAGGTATATTAATTGAGTTCCTACTATGTGTCAGGCACTTTTCTAGGTGCTACAGATATAGTGATGAACAAAACAAATGAAACTCCCTATCCTTATGGGGTTTATATTCTGGTACGTGCATGGGGATGTGCCAAAACAAATAAACAAAAAATACATTACATAGAATATTAGAAGGTAATAAATGCTATATAGAGATAGAATGTAGAGAAGGAACAAATATGTGTAACATGGGGAAAAGTAATTGAAATGCAATTGAATTGAAAACACTACACTTGAGTATTTTAAAGCAGGAAGGAAAATCACAACCGAGGTATAATTAACATTCATGTTGGCTTCTATTAGAAAATGTAAACGATAATTTTTTTTTTTTTTTTTTTTTTTGTTTCCCTCTTGTTACCCAGGCTGGAGTGCAATGGCGCGATCTCGGCTCACCGCAACCTCCGCCTCCTGGGTTCAGGCAATTCTCCTGCCTCAGCC